GCCTTTCTCCACAGCTCCCTACAGCTCCCACAGACTGCTGCCTTTCTCCACAGCTCCCTACAGCTCCCACAGACTGCTGCCTTTCTTCACCGCTACCTATTCTTGTACTCATAGGTGCTTAACGCTGTGCCTCTCTCTCACTGTCTGTGTGCAGGCTGCCTGGACATTGCACTGGTGGTGCGTGGGAAGATCGAGGAATTCAAGCCATACATCCCTCTGATCCAGGGACTGCGAAACCCAGGGATGCGGAACCGCCACTGGGAGCTGCTCTCCGAGCGGATCCAGATGAACGTGAAGCCCAAGGCCAACCTGACTTTTGCCCGCTGCTTGGAGCTGCAGCTACAGGACCACATCCACGAGATCGCCAAGGTCGCAGAGGTCGCAGGGAAGGAGTTTGCCATCGAGCAGGTGAGAGCAGGTGTTACAGAGAGAGAAGAGAGGGGGAGGGGGTGTGGAGAGCAGGAGAGGTAGGGAGGGATAGAGAAGAATGGAGACTGTGAGAGAGAGAGAGAGGATGGGGAGAGGTAGAGGGTGGAGGAGAGGGAGAAAGGGATAGAGAGGAATAGAGAGCGGAGGAGAGGAACAGAGACGGAAAGAGAGTGGAAGTCAGGGACAGAAAGAGGGAGAGAGGAAGGAACAGATGGAGGAGAATGGAGACTGTGAGAAAGAAAGGGGGATATGGAAGGATAGAAAGTCAAACAGAGGGACAAGAGACAGGGAGAAAAGTAAAAGCAGAGGAATACAGAGAAGTGGAGAAGGATGAACAGGGGTAGAAATTGGATAGTACTGAGTATTGTCCTTCATATTAACAGAGTGGGTTCATAAGATATTACTCCATTTGTAGCTTACATTCTCATTTTCTAAAATGAATTGAATTCAAAGTTGCCTTGTGAGAGTCCAGTCCACTTTTTTATAGCCTTGGATCGTTAGATCCTTTCAGAAAATATTAATGCCGACGTTGGAACGCTCCTCCCTCTGTCTGCCTCTCCCAGGCCCTGGACAAGATGGAGCGAGAGTGGTCCACCGTGGCCTTTGAGGTCCTGCCCTACAAGGAGACGGGAACGTTCATCCTGAAGAGCCCGGACGAGGCGTCGCAGCTCCTGGACGACCACATCGTGATGACCCAGAGCATGTCCTTCTCGCCCTTCAAGAAGCCCTTCGAGGAGCGGATCAGCACCTGGGAAAGCAAGCTGCGCATGACGCAGGTACGGCAAAGCGACTGCGGCGCCGCAGTGGAGGATCCAGGTCGACTGCTTGTTTAGCTATGGCTTGAATCTGCAGCTCGTCCAAGCGCATGTGGCCCTGTCAGCCATTTCAGTGTGCTTCAAACGCACGTGCAGGGAGACATACACCGGGCCTTTTAAATACAGCAAATATGTCCGAATACCTTTCCGACACTGAGCCTTCGTGTATCGTCACCGTGCACGGCCTGTTGTAGAATGCTGTTGAGTGCACCCTGAGGGCGCAGGTGGTATTCCAGTGCTCTTAATGCTCATGGCCTTGCCATGGCATAGCTGTGTCCCGAATCGGACCCGACCCGACCCGACCCGTCTCTCTCCCTGCCCAGGACGTGCTGGAGGAGTGGCTGACCTGCCAGCGGTCCTGGCTCTACCTGGAGCCCATCTTCAGCTCCGAAGACATCAACCGGCAGCTCCCCGTGGAGGGCAAGCGCTACCAGACCATGGAGAGGACCTGGCGCAAGGTCATGAAGAGCGCCCACGACAACACGCAGGTGGGGTCCCGGGCGGTCCCACACAGCGGGACTGTGGGCTAACCGCAGGTCTGCTTCCTGAATGACAGGTTTAATCAGTATCGACGCCACTCTCTCTTCACGTGTGCAGTATATTTATCTTTGTAAATGTTTGTCCACACGTTTTCTGCTGAAGGCTTGAGCGGAGAGATGAGATTTATTTATTTTTAAAAATGCTGAACGATGATACATCATTTTCAGCTCCACTCAGACGATGAGAGCAAGGCCTTGTTTATCTGTTTGGGCTGCATTCTGTGACCTGTTTGTGGAGCGAGACTCATCCCTGTCCCCTGTCTCCCTTGTTTCCCCGTCTCCCTGTCCTCTCTGTCCCCCCTGTCCCCCCTCTCCACTGTCTCCCTGCCCCCCTGCCCTCCTTTCTTCCCTGCCCCCCTGTACCCCAGGTGATCGACCTGTGTCCTGACCCTCGCCTCCTGGAGAGCCTGAGGGAGTGTAACAAGCTGCTGGAGCTGGTGCAGAAGGGCCTGAGCGACTACCTGGAGACCAAGAGAGGGGGTTTCCCCAGGTGCGCCCCTCACTGGACACCCC